AACCTTTGACATGTATTCCCGTTCTACATCATCCTTAGGTGATATGGATGCACCGAGCTTGAAATGAGGAGCAAGAGGTGTACTAACTGGTTTTGACATCTCATTTATGCCAAAAACGTTTTAGTACTTCCTCAGATATTCTTTCTGAGACAAACAAGCCTCCCCAATTTCTTATCCCTTGATACCTCCATGCCTAGAATCTTCTTCGCTTCACCAAGATCCTTCATCTCAAACTCCCTGTTCAATTGATTCTTTAGTTTCGCAATTTCTGTCTGACTCCTGGAAGCTATCAGCATATCATCAACATAAAGAAGAAGATATATATAGGATCCGTCTTCTAGCTCGCGTAAATACACACAATGATCATATTTGCTTCTTGTGTACTTCTGCCCTATCATAAACTTGTCAAATCATTTGTACCACTGCCTTGGAGATTGCTTCAATCCGTACAACGATTTTTCTAATTTGCACACCATCTCTTCTTTTTCAGCAACTTTGAATCCATCGACTGAGTCATGTTGATTTTCATCCAAGTCTCCATGTAAAAATGCAGTTTTACATCCATCTGAACTAGTTCCAAATCCAACTGCGCTACCAAGCCAACAAAATTCTGATGGAGGAATATTTACATTGGAGAAAATACTTCATTATAATCAACTCCCTCCGTTGAGCGTAGCCTTTAGCCACCAATCTTGCTTTGTAGCGGATGTTATTTTGTCAGGAAATCCATCTTTGCATATACCCACTTGCACCCAAATGCCCTCTTTCCCTTCGGAAGACTAGCTAGTTTCCAGTCTGATTCTTTTGAAGGGATTGCATTTCTTCATTCATGGCGATCCTCCACTTTTTATGTTATGAACTTTGAACTGCTTCATTAAAAATGGTAGGAACGTCATCAATTGCAATTGGTGATACAAAAGAGACCATATCAGCATAACGAGCAGGTTGTCTAATGGTCATCTTTCCCTTTCTGAGTACAATTGATTCATGTTGCTGTGGAGGTTCTTGGGTCTGAACCTCTTCTTCATCTGACTCTTCTTCTACCATAGAAGAGTCAACATCAGTTTCTTTACTGGTTGGGACAAATTTGCTTCCTTCAAACTCCACTTGTTTGGGAGTTTCATCTGTCTGCTCCAATTTTTCTGAAGTCACCTTTCTCAACATGATAGATTCATCAAAGGTAACATCCCTGCTGAAGATTATTTTCTTTGTTTCTGGACACCAAAGACGATAGCCTTTCACACCAGAGGTGATCCCCATAAAGATCGCCTTCTTGCTCTTGGATCCAGCTTGACTCCTTAACATGGTAGTATGCAGTGGAACCAAACATGTAAGGAATCATAATCTGTAGCAGTTATCCAAACCATTTTCTAATGGTGTTTTACCACCAATAGCAGTCGATGGTAAGCGGTTGACAAGGTGACAAGCATAGACCAAAGCCTCAGCCCAAAATTCTTTGCCTAACCCAGCATTAGACAACATAAACCAAACCTTCTCCACTAATGTCCGGTTCATATGCTCTGCCACCCCATTCTGTTGTGGTGTACCTCTGACAGTGAAGTGCCTAACATACCTTCCTCTTCACAGACTTTCAGAAATGGATCATTTTTGTACTCTCCACCATTATTGTACGGAGACGTTTGATTTTTCTGCCTGTTTGAGTCTCATATCTTTTTCCATTAAGGAAAAATCCTAGCACCTCATCCTTTGTCTTCATTGGATACACCCAAACTCTCCGGGGAAAATCATCAAAAGGTGATAATAGTGTGTTCCTCCTAATGAAGTTGTCTTGGAAGGCCCCCATATATGAATGAACATAATCCAAAATACCTTTAGTATCATGGATTGTTGTTCCAAATTTCACCCTCGTCTTCTTCCCTTTGATGCAATGCTCACAAAAAGCTAATTTGCAAGCCCGAGCACCCTTCATAATCTTTGATTATCAGTAATTTCAAGGATTTTCACCAACATGCCCAAGGTCATGCCATAACCTGGTTTGACTCTGTTCATCAGTAGAAGCTGCCACTGCTGCTGTCTCAACAATTGATTACCAGAAAGTAATACATTGTTTCTTTTTCGGATTCCCTTCATTATCCAGTGCACATCAGTAGAAGCTGCCATGCTGCTGTCTCAACAATTGTATTACCCAAAAGTAATACATTGTTTCTTTTCGGATTCCCTTCATTACACCAGTGCACCAGAGATAATCCTCATAACCCATCTTTTTCCCTCACTAAACCTTTGACTCTAAGGTTCCCACAGAGATGAGATTTCTCATTAAATCTGGTACATAATAGACACCTTTTAAGGTTCTGATTGATCCATCCTGATTCCTCAAGCGAATTGAACCAATCCCAAGTGTCAAGAGGGGAATTATTGTTGTGTAGACAATTCCACATTTTAGTTCTTTAAAATCAAAGAACCATTCTCTATTGGGGGTCATATGGTGGCTACAAGCTGAATCTAACAGCCATGAACTGGAACAGCTGGTTGATGGGTAGCAGCGAATGCGAAATCTGAATCTCATCATCATACTCGACCACATTGATTCTGAGACAGCCTTCCCCTTTCAGGTTTGCCTTTATTCTTTAGCCTGAGACATTCTTTCTTCAATGCCCTTTTTCTCGACAAAAGACAACATTCATCTTTGCCAATCTGGACTTTGACTTCGATCTCCCTCTGCTTCCTTTATTCTGACTCTTGGAACGGCCTCTAACAACAAGAGCTTCTGCTTCGACACTTGTGTTTTCTTGTTTGTCTTCTTTCTCAATTCATAACTATACAAGGCAGCAGTTACTTCACTGAGAGACACATCAACCTTCCCATGAAGTAGAGTAGTTTCAAGATACTCAAACTCATCAGGAAGTGATCCTATCAACATCAGAGCCAGATCTTCTTCAAAGTCACGTTCATATTCATCAGATCAGTCACCAGCTGATTAAAGCTAGTAATGTGATCATTCATAGTGGTACCTGGTACATAGTTGAAGCGGAACAATCTCTTTTCATGTAGAGTTTGTTCTGACCGCTTTTCTTCAAAAATTTCTCCTCCAGTTGCCTTACATAATTTACTTGCAGAAGTTTCCTTAGAAAATGCATACTTTACTCTAGAAAGACACGATCGAATAGTCCCTGCCATTCTATTGATCCTCTTCCATTCTTTCTCCTCAACATCATCTGGTTTCTCTCTTCAATAGCAATGTCTAGACCATGCTGAAATAGGGCATCTAGAACCTCGCTTTGCCACATGCCGAAATGACCGGTGCCATCAAAAATCTCCACTGCAAATCTAACATTTGTCACAGCATTTCTTGCTAAAATTGAAGATGAAGAAGCGTCTGCCATTTCTGCTACAAATTCTATGTAATAGCTGCCAATGCGGAATGTCAATTATCCCAAGGAAATTTTTTTAATGTGGAAGATCAGCCTAAGCTGCAACCCAAAGAGCATACTAAAATAAACAAGAGCTTGATACAATTGTTGTGAAATTGGGTTAATTTCCACAATAACAATTTACCTTGAAAACTATTATCTAGGTGACTAGTGTGAAAACAATTGTACTAAAATCACCCCAGGTAGATTCCCAGGAAAGAGGAGGGGTCACAATGGTCCCTCTTAAAACCCACTTTCATATATGTTGGATGATTAACTAAGGAGGAGGAGGGCTTTATTTATAACAAAAGAATTTCCCCTCCTCCTTATACACAACCAATGTGGGACTTTTGCCAAAAACCAACATACCCTGGGTATATGTAGCCAATGATATATTATGTAATCACTTTCAAACCTGGTGTCTTCAAAAGCAAATTTACCCATGTTAAAATCAACTAGCTATTTGTTCAATTAGATGATTAAGAAAAAGCACGGGAACTCCAAATAATCATATTTTTACACAAAACACTAGTTTTTGAAATAGCAAGGCTATACCTGATTTGTTGTCACCGTGATAACTCCGACAGGGAGAGTGAAGAAAATGGCTAGACCACAAGCTAACAAAACACCCCATCATGGCAACTGGAGTTGATCACTGTACGTAATACTGGCGTATAAATATGGTTGCTACAATGTTCACTACAAGGATGTACGTAAACCACTATTCGGGTACTTGCTTGTATCTTCTCATCAGCTTCGTATGAACATCCATCTTCTTCTCTTGGAAGGAAGATTTGCTTAGGTGCCAAATTTCTCTGTACCATTGAGATAAGTTGCTTTTAACTTACTGAACATACTAAAATGACAGATATCAGTTTATGTTCATATGCATTCAAAGAGCAAAGCCTCTATAGGCCAAGCAATTTGAATCTAAGACTCGTGATGCATACCTCCCATGAAAAAGGATTACATGGACAACAGTAGCTGCCAAGCAAGCAAAGCTAACACCATAAGACATGGCAAAGAAGATTCTGAGATTCAAAGGACCCTCATGCTCATATGCCGCTAATGTCAATGTGGAATTTCTGAGAGGCAGATGAATTGTTGAAACTTGCCTCAGCTCGTCAGCAGGTTAGAATAGCTCAATTACTTTTCGTGTTTGCAATAACTTGGTCGAGTCATTGTGAAGTGTTCCGATATGTATACTTGCTGTTTGGTGATAATTATGAATAGGCATACGATATGCTTATGCAGAAGTCTAGCCAAATGTACAGGTTAAAGCATCGTTTAACACCATGTTGATATGAATTGTTCACTTACAGGCTTTTTACGTGTAATTATGCATGTCTAATTTTGTTGTTCGATTTACTATTTCATTTTTCATGGACTTTTGGGGCAAATGGCTGATATCTCTCGACTGTTTATACTTAAATGATATTGATAGGTTCAAGCCCATATTGTTAAGCTGAGAAGAGAGTTGAGTGTGAAGGATGGGATGCCTCAACCACTGAAACCGGCCTCCAGTTACGAATGTATATGATTCCGGTAGGTTAGTATCAGAGTTCACTCGTCGAAATTTATATTAGGGATGGCAAAGTGAACTGTGAAGAAGACGTTAGATGTGTATATTAGCTGTAACAGCCTTATTTCTAGATTGAGTAGTGAATTATTTCCTTTAAGAGAACTGATTGTAACCTAGTTGCAATGTAGCATGTTAAGTTGTTAACAACCTACGAAATGAATAAGACATGCAAATTTCTTTTCTATTGTAAAAATTTTCCTTGATGTGATTGGTCAAGGGATTGAAGAAAGATAATGAAAATATGAAAGCACGTCGTAGTTCAGACATGTCGGTTCACCTTTATGACGATGGTTCTCATTGACATTTCGGAGTGAACTGCAGTTGGTTAGGGGCATATGATCTGCCATTTCATTTCCACATAACTATGATCAGCGCGAGTTCCGATTAGAACTCAACTACAATCCAGCAAAAAAGAGATGGAAATATTATCATAGGACAGATGGGGCTAGACGGCATGATTCTACTGCTCGCTCTTCCCTTTCAAGGAAAAGAGACGACCAAAACTAAGCGAGTGTTTCTCTTGCTCAAGAGTAGAAGCAGAGAATCTAGAGTTAATACTCGTGTGATTGAGCTGAGACGAGTTCCCTAAAGACTGCGGTGAAAGACAGGTGTCATTATCCAGGGGACTTGATGTGGAATGACTGTAATGCAAGGAATCACCACTCATGGATTGCACATCTGCAGAAGCTACGCTGTCCGTCTCGATGTGTACAAGGTCATCGGTGCAGCGAATATCCTGTGCCTTTGAACCACCATGATTAAGTCTGCCTTCTACTGAACTTTCACCCAACAGCTCATCACTTCGAATGTGCAAAGACTGCAACTGCCTCCCGAGAAGGTAAATTGTCTCCTGGCATGTTGCGAGCTTTTGTGCTGCATCTTTTATATCTCTTTCCTACCAAGAGAGTGACGGGACAGACATTTTCAGCTAAAGCTTTCGAGCTAACTCATTCCAAAAGCACCAAATAAGGAAGGATTACTCTGATCAATTCACAAACCTCCGGCTTTTTATGCGACAACGAACAAAAAATAGGTCAAGCAAAAAAGTGCAATCACCCCAGAGAAGGATAGCAAACATTCTATACAACATAAGTGCATGTAGAGGAACTGCCAGAGATAGCATGGAACAAACATTCTATCACCCTAGAGGCTCTTATAACAGCATATCTGAAAGGTCATCAGTCGATTATAGGCTTCCACATTTTCTCGGTTAAAATTTTAGAGTTATTATGCCGCATACCTGTTTGATCTTCATATCAGAATCTTCTATCGCTGATGACAGACATAGAAAGGATGCTGAGTTCCTTTAGCAACATAAGAGAATTTACAAAAAGTTAAAAGATATATTGCTACAAAATATGGTGATTCATGTAATATAACCTACAATGAACCAACTGGTGGAACTTCTTCCAGCGCAAAATCAAATTAGCTGATAACAACCAAATATTGGTCTATCATTTTGGAATGTTCTTTAGTTCATTGATTCGATAAATTCCCTTTTCCTTATTAGGTCAAGTGATTTCCTATTAGTGATCATTTCTGCTCGCAGTATCATCAAGCATTATTACAGTTAGTTGCTTACCTTTGAACTTTTACTTCCAGATCCTTGCATCTAGCCAGGGCATCTTGATGGCCACGCTTTTCTTCTTGTAGTTTATCATCTAACTTCGCTGACTTTTCTTGTAAAAGGTTTATCTCAGTTTCTAACTCCTGTGCACGCACTTCTAGAGACTTGTAAGACTCGGTCATACATTTCAGCTGAGTTTCTGCGAGGCTGTGGAGATTCTGAGAGGAAGCCAACTGTAACTTCAGTTTAGTTACCCTATTCTCTGTCTCCTGCAGCAGCAACTTTGCATTTTCAAGATCTTCAGTGCTTCTTGTAAGATCCACTGCCATATTTTCTTTATCCAATTTCAGCTGTTCCAACTCTTTCAATAAGCACGAGCATGATGTAGCATTGGGTTGAAAACTTGGATCCAAGATTTCATCATGAAGTACATCCGAGTCAGGACAGGAAAGACAAAGATGGCACCCTCCAACACATGCATGTTTTGATGGGTTATCTTGTACATCCTTATTCTCTAGCAAAGCAACCTTGTCTATGCAATCATTTTCGTTGGCATTTCTATCATAATCCCTATATCCCAGGAAACCAAGGTTCTGTCGATCTACTTCAAATAAAACATGAGAAAGTTTTAAGATGAAGTCGACTAAACCCTTAATGTCAAATATGAACTTATCCACAAAGACAGAGAAGTCATCTAATCTTTTACGTAGCCCATGGCCATCGGTATGAGGGTCCTGAACTCTCATTGCTTTTCTACCAACTGACAGTACAACCTGATGAATCTGAGATATTGCAGATGCCAAATTTTGCTTTGTAACATTATCTCCATCTAAGAAAATCAATCTCTCTTCAGATACATCCTTTTGATCGGAAGGACCATGACCCAGTTGAGCTCCTTCACATATATGAGTGACTGGCTGCTGTGACAGAGAACCTTCTACTTCCAGAATAGCACATTTGATATCCTCCAAGACCTTTCCCAAATTCTTCTCCTTAGTTTGAGATTCAAAAATTGTAAAAACCATTGACTTAAGTTTTTGGAAGGGAGGATTTTCCACATCCTGCTGAAGCTCCTTTGTTGAGGATCTTGCAATTGAAGATTCCAGATTTGATGATGGACTAAAACCAAACTCTTGATCAGAATTAGCTGGATCGCTAGAAACAGCATTAGCCCCACCAACATTATTTGAAAGACATGCCAGCTTCTCCATCTCTAGAAAGTCGTCCATCAATTCCAAACAATTGGAGTTCTCTTGCTTATGAACTTTTCGACTACTCTGCTCTATTCCCAGATGAGAGAGATACTGGAGGTTGCTGGTAGAAAAGATTCAGCTGAGCGTCCTTCAACATCAATCCCATCTTCAGACATGGAAGCGATACTAGGTGCATTGCTAGCATATTGACTAGAAAGATCGCCTGCAGGGTGCCCAATGCTCGACTCTGGGGAGCTCGTTTGATGATTAAGGACCTGTACTTGTGCTTCTAAGCTCTTGACCCTTAGATTTGTCTTAGCACACGTCTCTCTGGCAGCCTGCAGTTCAATATTGCTACTGGCCAAAGCTTCTTTAAGCATCTTTGTTTCCTCTTCCATCTCCAACAAATGCATAGTAAGATAAACAATCTCCTTTTGAGATTGCAGCAAGCTGCCAGCAGATGATTCCATCTGCGGGGACAAATTTGGGTTAGGATTCTTAACTACATTTCTTTTAGAATGAGGTCCACCAAAATCTCTGCCAAAATTATCAATTTCTTGCTTCATTTGGGCCAACGCAGCTGGCCCTGGCAACCTCTTACGGACTAGGCCACGTAATCTTTGACACTCTGCCTCCAGTTTAGCAGTTTTGCCGACACTTGCTAAATGATGCTTGTTTGCTGCTTCTGCAGATCTCATACTCATATTCTTTTCTTCATTGCGAATTTCAAGCTCCTTAGAAACCATATGCAGCTCGTACTTGAGTGAGTTTATTTCCTTCTCGCGTGACACAAGGTTTTCCTTCATAAGTTCTATATCAGCTTCCGCTTTAGATTTTTCAACCTCAAGCTGAACTATCAAATTCGACCGCTCATGCAATGACCTCAAAAGCGCTTGGTTTTCAGCGGCTGCTCTCAAAAGCCCTTCATCTAATTCAGCTATTTTCGCTTCGAAGCCAATCTTTATTCTGTCAAAATGTATAGTTTTGGCTAGAACCGCATCCTGCAATTTCTGCTCACTCTCCTCTTTCACACTTCTTACCTGTCTCATACACTCCTTAAGAGCACCATCTAAATGTGCTGCTCGATCCTCTACCGAAAGCTTCAAGAGAGTAAGATTTTCGAGACATTGTTTCAACTCAATAGCTTCGGCATCCGCCTTTTCCCATCCTAAAAAAAAGGTACATAAAAGCTCTCAAAATCATCACTCTCAATGGTATGGTTACAATTGAGCATTAATTTTTCCAACACATACCTGAAACAGCTTCCTCAGCAACTTTAGCATGTTGGCTGATCAAAGCATCCTTAGATTTAATCTCTGAACGAGCTTCCGATAGTTTCCCTTTCAAATCCTTTACTTCATCCTCGCATGATTTGACTTCATCCTTTAACTTGTTAACTTCATCCTCTAACCCCGTCAAATGTACGTATGACTCCATGGATATTTGAACATAATTTTCCTTCTTACACTTTTCCTATCAATAAACAGCAGAAAAGAGAAAAAAATATCCAAACAATCAGGAACAAGTTTCATAAACGATTCCATTTAAGGGCTCTTTTAGTAAATAAATTTTAAAAACAACGAAAGACCTGATCTCCGAGAGATGCTAAGGAAGACAAACAAACACTGGTTCCATCTGATACAACTGCCTGCTTTTCAGTTCCAGCTTTCTCGGAGGATTTCTTCTTCCATGGCCATCCTCGTCGGTCCATTTCAAAAATCTATATCCTTTATCCTTAAAAGGAAAGAACAAAGATCAAACTGAAATTTAAAAAGAAAGAAACGATGAAAACATTTTTTTCACTGAATTAAACTTACCGGAGAGAAATGCAGATTACCGGCGATCACTGAACCGGAATTTGATTTGAATAGTTAAAGAATCAATCCCGAGAGAATTTTTTTTATATTTTATTTTCGTTCTTTTCACAGATTGAAGAGAGAAAGAAACCACCAGAGCCGAGACGGAGAGGGGAGCGGGGTAGGCTAAACTTTTTTTAAAAAAAAAAACTCCCTGAAATGGGCACAAAAGACGACGGCGTATTGACCTTTTTTGGCGAATTTGTGTTCAATAGACACGTGGCAGTGCATTATGGGCTAGATCTCCGCTCCTCTAAAAGAGGAGTTCGATGGTAGTTAGGTCCATGGAAAGCATCGTGTTACCGCACTTGGGTGGGCCAGTTAGCGTTGCAAGATGTAAAGGATCGATAGAACCAACGGCCAAGATTCAAAAGTTCTTCCTTTAGAGCAATTCCTTGAAACAATTACTAATAAAATAAGGTTGCCAAAGGCTGATAATTAGTTGGTTTGTTTGTGGGGACCCGATTTGGGTAAAAGAATATTTGACGTATGAACACGTAGGTTTTATTTCATGTGTAAACTTATAGAATATCATTGAATTATATTAGAATAATTATTTTAATTATAATTATTTAAACTTATTAATAAACGTATCAAATTATCATAAAATATTTATTAAATATTATTAAATTTATAAAAATTTAGTTATAATATTTCATTTTATTTAATATTTATACATTTTTACCAAAAATTCTGAATTATAAGGTGCGACGTTCGAATGTGTGGCATAATTTGATCATGGGGAGTAAATAGAATAATTATAAATGGTCAAATATCAAATATTTAACAGTGATAACATATCAACTTTTTATTTTATTTTATAGGTAACAGTGCATTAATTTTTTATGGTTGGTCCAACTGTCGCTAACCCTCTTTGCTGTCGCTTCGAAACCTGCATTATTATTATTTTTTTCTAATAACTGATCTTGCAAGAGATTAATTGTCCCCATAGACAATGGCTGTATGTCTCTCTTTTATTTCATAACCAGAAGTTGATGGACCTTTGAATGGTTTATATTTTTGTCGACAATGTACCTAACCCATGTGACAATTTAGGGTTAGTTACTCAATGACATCAATAAGATTAGATATGGCAACGGGCCGGGTATTGGTCTCCCGTCCTCGTCTCTGTTTAAAAAAACTGTATTTGTTCTCGTTTAAAGAATTGTGGGGATTTAAACGGGGATCATCATCGGCTAATCAGGGAAAACTGCGGGGAAACGGATATCCCCGTTTAACATAAACGATTATTTAAATGGGTATCGGGCCGAGTATCGGGCCGGGTATATATATTTAAATTAAATATATATATTAATTTAAATTAAATATATAAATATTATATATATATATATTAATTTAAATTAAATTTATTAATATTATATATATATAATAATTATTTTTAATATTTATCGAGTCGGGTATCAGGCCGGGTAATCGGGACGGAGATTATCAAACCCGTCCCCGTCCTCGTTTAGTATAAACGATTTTTCCCCATCCCGTTTAATTCAATTTTCGATTTTTCCCGTCGGATTCAGATTTTTTTATCATCCCTAAATAAGATAGACAATGTACATACCTAATTGTATTTGCGTTGTCTCATGTTAATTTAATAGCTTATTTGTGTTGTGTCATAAATTCATATTTTAAAAGTAATTTTTTAATTGATATAATTATAAGCTAATGTTATCCATTTTATTCTTTAATTATAAAAAATCACGTGATATTCTAATAATATATCACATGACACGTAATATTTGGATTAAAAATAAAAAAAAGTAAAAGAAAAAATTAAAAACATACTTTTCAACTTTTAAAGACTTTTAAAGGTTTTTACAAAATAAATATATTTTAACAAATTAATGACTTATATTTTATCAATTTTAATATAATCATATCTTTCAAATTTACTATTATACTGTAAGTATTTTATTTTATATTTTTATATTATGTTTTAGTCTTTCTCTAAAGTATCCATAAAATACAATTATTAGGATCACTTGACAACTTTCTTGTTAGATTTGTATAATGTATGATTTTGTTGAATTTTTATGTTTGAATTTCTACTTGCAGACACTTTTATGTCTTTATATTGTAGCCTTGAATAATCGTGTTTTATAAAAGTATAATATGGTTGTTTTATTTGTTTTTCAATTTGATGATATAAGTGAATATTTTTTTTTTAATTTGAATTTAAGTAATTATATTGTTATATATATATATATATATATATATTAATGATTAAAAAATTTAAAAAATATTATTTTGTAATCATTTTTGATTATTTAAAATAAAATTTAAATATTATTTATTATTTTGAAGGTGTTACATTCTTTTTCAAATTGTTAGATCATTTTTAAATGTGTAGCAAATTAAAATATTATTTTTTATTTCATTTAAAGCATTTAAAATTGTTGTTATTTAACGGGCCGCGAGTAAGTCTGTTTAGCTCACGGGTTAAATGAACAGACAACGAACCTTAAAATTTAAAACCGTTTATAAATATAAATTTTTTAAACCATTCCGTTTAAACTTGCACTATCAAAATCTACGGCTAAACGAGCGTATACCCAGCTCTACTTAGAAACTACGAAAACAGTATATATTCGGATTGAGAAAAGAAATCGTTAGTGGAAGAAGAAACAGCAAGATGTCATCGTCTACGGCGGCCAATCAAGTGAGGGCATCTCACATACTCATCAAACACCAAGGCTCTCGCCGCAAGGCTTCTTGGAAGGATCCAGAAGGTAGAGTCATCTCCGCCACCACCAGAGACTCCGCCGTCTCGCAGCTTAAGCTCCTCCGTGACGATATCGTTTCCGGAAAGGCGAAGTTCGACGAGGTCGCCTCTCGCTACTCCGATTGCAGCTCCGCTAAACGCGGCAGTGATCTCTGTTAGTTCGTTGCTTAGAAACTTATGAGAAGATGAATTATTGGAGGGCAAAAAAGATGCTTAGAGTGAATACAGGTGTTGAAAAGTGAGTCATATAGATAACGGGACACTTTGGTTAATGCTAGCGTTTCGAATACTTTGTTGTTGAAATTAGGGTTTCAAGCGTTAAGACATTAGAATTTTGGGATCCCTTGCAATCGGGGCTGTAATAGTCGAGTAGGCTTATTCAGTAGGTTATTGCTGAGTTACTCATTGGCTTAAGAGATATCCAATATGTTAATGACAGCCCTTTACATCTGACCTTTTTTGGGGTTTCAAGCGTTAAGACATTAGAATTTTGGGATCCCTTGCAATCGGGGCTGTAATAGTCGAGTAGGCTTATTCAGTAGGTTATTGCTGAGTTACTCATTGGCTTAAGAGATATCCAATATGTTAATGACAGCCCTTTACATCTGACCTTTTTTTGTCTTTTATATGCTGTCATATCAAGGGATTTAAATAGCGAAACACAATAGCGGCCGTTATTTCACGGTAACACCATTGTCAAAAACTAATATTCGAAAAAAAATTGTTGTGGGTAGTGGAACCATGACAATAGTAGTTTGTCACGGTCGCAATTTAACGTTTAACGGTAAATATCGTCGATAACGAAAAAAAATATTTATGAGGTCAAGAGCAACGACGCCGGTGAAGAAGCAGTGGAGTCGAAAAAGGATCGATGGTTGATCGATTTCATGGGGAAGAAAGAAGAGGAGGAGCCCCAAGAGGAGGCACTTGTAACTAAGTTTGACAAGGTTAAGATTGAAGAATCAAAGCCAGAGAAAGAGGGAGAGGAGAAGAAAAAACATGGTCTCCTGGAGAAGCTTCACCGATCAGATAGCAGCTCCAGCTCCGTAAGAACCAGTCCAACGTTTGAGAATTGACATGGGCAAAAGAACCATACCAACAAGTCTACGGACAGAGCTCCAGCAACCATGGCCATAAGTTGTAACGTAGTTAATAAGTTTCTTATCTTCCTCGGGTGACCATAACCCTCTCTTCACCTTCTCCTTGTTGCAACAAGAATGGTGCCCCATCTTTACAGTTTACAGCCAATGGTAGGCCGGATTCATTGCCGAAGAGTTGTTTTGTTTTTTTCAAAAGGGAAAAAGAAAGATAAGGAGATCCGAAGGGGGGAGAGAGGGTAAGATATTCAGAGGTAAGCCCTTTAAGTTGGCTTTCTAAAGTAAAAGAGGTGATTTTAAAAGACTAACGAGAGTGCAGCAGTGAGGGTGTAAAATTTTAAAAATTCACGATAAATGCAATGCGACCGAAAATATGACATCGAACGCTATTTAAATCCCTGATCATATCCTTCCTCATGGTAGTAATATTTCGGCTAATGTCTTACAAGGTTTAAGCCCTTTCCTGTTTCTTTACTGTATCCTGAGATTCTGGAAAAGAAACTATGATAAAAATAGACTCTTATACATGTATGAGATGGATACCGTAATTTTTCTCAATAAGTCTTCTTTATTCTTATTCTTGATGGGGTTTTGACTACATGAATCGATCCCAAGGTTCCCAGGCACACCAGTTCTTCCACAATGAAAGTTAGCCTATTATTCAATTCTAGCAAATTGTACAAACGTGTTCATGCTATATGTTTTATGTCATTATTGACATTGAATACTGCCACTCTATTGAAATATTAATATACTAGTGTAATTTTCTGACTATATCCTTCAAGGAACGTGTCGCTCAGTTCTTATTGTTATTATCCGCAACCTTTCATTAGTATGTATCAGCATCCTGCAAGGAATGTGCCACTCAGTTCTTATTGTTAATTATCTGTGACCTTTCATTAGTTTGTAGCAGCATTACAAAGCCATGATACAAACACAAATCTTATACAACTTTTTGGTGCAGGTCCTTTTGGTCGAGGCCAGATGCAAAAGCCGTTCGAGGATTGAACCTATAATCTCAAGGTTGGTGAGATAAGCGACAGTGGGGTTCACATCATAATGAGAACAGGTTGATTATTGGTAGTGGGGTTCACATCATAATGAGAACAGGTTGATTATTGGTGATGAAGCCTGGATATTGTGAGCAATTAATTTAGTCTGTTCGGAAAATCTTCGTTTCTTTCCATTAAATACATATTTTTATTGAATAAAAATACTATTTTTTTAATAAATGTATTATTTCGGGTCGCGTCGGGTCAAGTTTGATTTTATCTCAAAAAAATAAGTCGGGTTCGGGTCAAGTGGAAGATTTATAATTTTCGGGTCGGTTCGAGTGAACCAAAAATCCAACCCGACCCATACCTATCCCTAATTGTTGTTCTAAATATAAAATACTTATTTTTATAAACTAAAATTAATTATAATAACATATCCTAATAAATGGAGTGAAAAAGATAATCAAATATAAAAAGAAAGTTCAAACTCGTCTTTCCTAATAAAATTAAGAAAAAAATATAAAATTTGTTTTCCCATTTAAGAATATTTGCAAGATGTATCCCGGGTATAAAAAAATTTGTGCTATTTACCATTATATGTGTTGTCATCTCATGCACACATAACTTAATTCAACTCATACTTATTATTGAACTCCACGTATGATAACTCGATTGATTGCCCATGGACACTGGCATCTCCTTGGCTCATTATACCGCTCTGATTATTAGCAGCTGCTTGATCCAATCGAACATTTTGAACACCGGCTAGTAGCATATCTTGACCAGACTTGGCAGGGAACTGAATAAAAGACGGCATTATCCATCTCATCCAATCTTTACTCTTCCTTCCTTTATCACCCTTGATTGTACATGCAAAAGTGATTAACATAAAAAAACATATCATTCTAAAGTAAGCAAGTAAGAGTCTGATATGTATGTGTGTTTTTATAAGTATTAGAAATGGATTAGAGGCATGAACCAAGTAGGGACGGAGCTATATAGGGAGTAGGAAGGGCTCTTGTCCCATCAAAAGTTTTTGGTTTAATAGCATTTTAGGTTCTTATCCCTTCCAAAATTTTTAGTTTAATATCATTTTAAGTTCTTATCAATTTAAATTTAAGTAAAATTAAACTTTTGTCATTCCAAATTTTTAGATTAAATACATAATAAGTCATTATTATTTTAAAATTAAGTATCTTGTCCCTCCCAATATTTGATCATGGCTCCGTCCTTGGAATCAAATGACCTCGATAGTAAATGAATTGTTGTTATTACTTGAGGTCCCAGGTTCGAGCACCAGAAATGTCTAGGGTGTGAGCATTTAATGTCAAATGGTTGAGAGTCATCTTTGAACAAATACTACCTTATACTTACCCCAGATTAATTAAAAAGAAAAAAAGAAATGGATTAGAGCAACATATATATATTAAGAGGGGGAGTATAACTGCACTTCCACAACTATTGAACTTTGAAGTGCATCTAATATAAGCTGAATATTATCCGTCAAAACTAAAACCTGAAAAGAAGATATAAGAAGAAAGTCAACTTTACATATATATAAAATTGAAAATTTACTCCATTATGAGTAAATAGAAAAATTGCATCAGCATGTATTTCGAAGAGGAAAGATATAACTTTTAGGATTCAACAAGGAGGTAATAAAGAAATCTAGAGTTCCAGATGCTTAATGGTGCACTGCACACTACCTGACCAGTCGCTTAATGTATATTTACTACCTTAGAACATTATCATTAAGGGAAAACCTTCGTGTAACGAAAGGTAAATTTTCAACAGAGAAGAGCGAAAGAAGTTATCGAATATCTCCTGCAACATGTTCCAGTCAGAAATGAAGTTCATGATAATGTTAAGAATAAGTTATTTTAGAAATACCATCAGTGGAATATAACTAAACAACATTATTTATCTTTAAACAACATGCTACATAAATCAGCACCTAAAGGGTGGTGATGTGCAAGTGTGCAGGTGGAGGATATATCTCCATACAAAGCACACAGGTAATAATCCATTGACAGTACAAACATGCGCAAACTTAACGATAATCAGTGCATAAATAAACAAATAAAACGATAGCATGAGAAGTAGTGAATCCTTCAGCATTGATGCATATATTAATTGTGAATCCTTCAGAATCAATGCATATATTAGTTGTGACTCTTTCAGCATTGGTGCATATATTAGTTGTGAATCCTTCAACATTGGTGCATATATTAGTTGTGAATCCTTCAGCATCAGTGCATATATATTAGTCGTGAATCCTTCAGCATTGGTGTATATATTAGTTGTGAATCCTTTGAAACTTAAACAAAAAAGATGTAAGTCTATATCTTTTAAAACCAGGGTTCCCCTGGTTCCCTCAAACACTTCAACTTGTTAGTTATATTTTGTTAAAAATGATAAATTTGTATTTTAAGATTCTAAAATTTTATAATCCGATTTCATCCTTTGCTAACATAAAAGTTCTAGACAATTCAAAAAAATAAAAGTTCTAAGTTTGCTCATATAGATATTTTCTAATAATGTGTCACCACGAAAAACACTCTAACAACAAGAACTACCGCAATCAAACAAACAAACGAAATAATTTTAAAATCTCCGAAAACTAACCTTTCTAAAGCCAGCAATCAATTTAATAGGAACCCAACCCTGGTCATCTGTGTTCTGCCGGAAGAATGTATCCTTAATTAAGTTTTCATTACTGCAATGAACAGAAAATTAGTTTCTTGGTAACATGGTATACCGACATTCAATTAATTAAGTTGATCTAATTTAGCACATAAACAAAGTATTACTTGAAATAATAATATATCTGATTCATTATTTTAACATAAAACTGGTGATCTTGAAGATCTGGAGGGAGAAACATTGGGGGCACTGGTTGAATAAATGGAAGACCTCTGTATGATCCAAGTGAGGGGCTGGGACCAAATAAAATTGAGAAGTAAACTCTAATAATAAGCATAGATATTAGGGCAAACTCAGATTACTACTCATAAATAATAAAAAGAAAAGAAAAAAATAGTACAACTTATCGGGGAAGCCCATGGGGTTCCAAAAGGGCGAACAGACTGTGGAGTAAAAAGCGGTCCAGTTTGCGGTAGTGGAGGAGGTAGTGGCGGTGGATGCCTCATAAACCTTGGAACACCTCTTGGCTGCATATGATCATCCCTATTAGTAAAATTCCAACCATTCCAATCTTGGTTCCCATGATCTTGATTGCACCTTCCTCCATAGTTCAGATGGTGTGAACCATTTCCTCATGGATGCATACCACTATTACGTTGTCAAAATGAATTTCGTGGGTACCGTTGATCATTACCACCACTAGATGCAGAGACATTGCTGTTATGCTTCATTGATCTCTGGCATGCAGGCATTGTATTGCTTGGGATCGAATTTGGATTCAAGTTCGGATTGTTCCTAACTTGCTTCTGCGAAGAAGATGGTGATGATGCAGTACTATTCCCCTTAAATTCAGGCAACATTGCAAAACCTCAAATCTCAAAATCCAAAACTATATATGTATTGATAGATGCAATATACTTTCCAGTATTCATACATAATGTTTAATATTCAGATTGCTTCAAATGAATAATAATTCAAGCAATACCTGTTGTTGGATTAAGAATTAGAAATCCTAAAATTCCATGCTTTGGCCAATTTAGATTCATTGCATTTAAGGTATATATCTTCCTTATCAAACAGATGATACAAACTGTAAAACTAAATTTATTTTAACTTAGTTCAGTTTAATAAGTTAATCAACCTCTATTTATCAGTCGGTGCCAGAATAGTTGAAATGGTAAGAAATAAAACGAATTTAAAAAAAATAGTTTAAACATTTGTAAGCAAACCTGAGAAATGTGGAAAAAAAGTAGGAGATGATCCATGCATTGAAGCTCTGGACGAATCTGAAGATGATTTAGAAATAGCCCTAGATGACCCAGACAAAGGCTGCCAAATGCTAGACTCCATATCCGACCCAGACTCAGCAGCAACCTTAGAAGATTTGTTCCATGCCAGTTTATTACAGTCATCGTCATTACACCCAATATTTACGTTGTCCACGTCTCCTTCGGCCTCCCCTTTGAACTCCGGTGTTAGATGTGGTTGAATTATAGCGAACAACCCTGTTCGCCAGTAGGATATATTTGGTTATAACTACTGGTAGAGTGATTCACAGGAGTCATTGCCTTCATCGTCATTGCACCCAATATTTACATTTCCCTGTTAATATTTGCAGCTATATCAAAACCTACTTAATTTAAATTAGATTTTTTTCACTCTTCACTAAGTCGCCAAGATTTGAACAAAAAAATCAATTAAAACCAAAGAGTAAAATTGACCCAAAAAAATGATATAAATGTAAATTTTCTGATTTTTCAACAAAAAATAGAGATTTGATGATTCGATCGGCAAAGAAACACCAAGATTACAAAAATAAATGAAGAAGAGCAATAGAAAACTCTGCTCCTCTCTTTCTGTTTTTCTTTTCATTTAAATTTTGTTTTCTGAAAGCTGCTTTGATTAAATATTGAGTTTTTGTTAGCAATTTGGTTTTTTACAATACTGCCATTGAAAACCTAAAAACTACTGGTATTTATTTTTCAGGTAAGTAGGGCATGCTCCAATCAAAACATGCCATGTAAGCATATTCCTTAATTTATTGGCCTTTTTTAATCATGTTTCCAAATTATTTATTACTATTGTTTAATTAAGAGTTTAGATATTAGATAGTTTACTGGAAAGATAGGCCTACACGAATATTATAATGAATCAAATTACATTCAAATTATGAATATTATCATTTTTATTTTATATTAAAAATTAACTCGTAGGATTTAGTGACGTCTAATTCATAAGATTTACGTGTTCAATTATATTGTTAAATTCGTAATGAGTATATAAATAATGTTCGTTTCATTTATTAGTGTAAAGTCAATTTTTTAATATATATATATATATAATATTAATATTTTATAATAAAAATAATATTTTTCTCTGTATAAATATGACATGAGTTCTTCAATAGTCTCATCTCACATATTCCATTTTAGATGAAATTAATTAATTAACTAATATTATTATTAATGATGTTAATGAGATGAGTTTTATGAAAAATGCCTCATCTTGCACTCATTTAAGTAGAAATGAATGCAAATTTTACGGTGATAGAATTAAAATAGTGATAAAAATTATATTTATTATATAGGACACTGATGAATATAACTTTGTACATGTCTAATTCTCACTTGCTATTCTAATTTACTTGTTAAAAAGTTGTGGTGATTTATTATCTTTTAAATATAACAATTGAATCAAACCCTAATTAAATCAAAATTGTGGGGATTTTAACATCATAACTTTTATCGGTATAATCACCGTATTCGATGTATTACTCGATTAATTAGGATCGGATATTGTAAAGATACAGAATTAGTTGTGTTAGTATTTGCAGCCCTATAAAACCCTAATTAAATCAAAATTGGAGTTTTATTTTCCTTTCTTTCCCCTTAAATCAACAACTTGATCGACCCAACAAATAAGTATTATCTTTTCGATGGCTTATCAACAAATGACGACGATAAGTCGTTATTTTTTCGGCGACTCTGATAAAACCGCCTTCTCCGTATCGATCGTTGAGGTATTACTATTTTTACTTCACAAAACACTCTGAAAGGGGGAAAAGGGTAGAAGCTTTAAGGATTTAGGTGTAATTTTCATTTCCATGATGCTCAGAACTTGAAAGAAGACTATGGCTTATTCGTTTGGCCTTGTAGCATCGTATTGGCCGAGTTTGTTTGGCAACAGAGATATGGCTTTTCCGGGAATGATGTAGTCGAGGTATTTCTAATAATAAATTCAAATTTTAGCTTTGGCGACTGTCTCTCAAATTTTGATATTTGCTTCTTTTGCAGCTCGGTGCAGGAACTTGCTTACCTGGATTGATAGCTTCCAAAGTTGGCTCCAATGTCACCCTTACCGACGATGCAAATAGATCGGAGGTAGTATTGATGCAGTGTCTTTGAGTTGAAATTTGATAATTTTATCCAAAATTAATTACTTTGGTGGAGATTATTGTTTATTGCTTAAACTGATTATTATGACTGCAACTTATATTTTTGTATGTCCATGTTTTGTTTGATATAAATACAGGTGCCGGAAAACATGAGAACAGTACGGCTCAATTGTTCACAGCCACGCTTCTGCCAAGCTCCGTTCGGAGGCGTCAAATGGAGCGGCTTTGGGCGTGAACTAGGGGAATGGTATCTACACATACCTGCTATATCCTGTTTCTCAAATCTAAGAACTCGGGGATTTGATATCTCTTCTTCATGTGTCTATTATGAACATAATCGAAGTTATTGTACTGACAGATGGATGAATATATCATTTGTGGCAATCTATTTTCTTGCAGGGGACTCGAAAACTACTCGAGTGTGAAACAGGTGACAGAGTATGTCTCCGATGAACAATGGGGTTTGTACGAGCCTCCGAAGCAATGAAGTCCATCAAGGAAATACATCTAATATGCATGAATGTATGTTCGTACGTATGTTACCCCTTCGACCTATGTCAAATGGCTGAGGTTTGCAAAATGTATGTATACATGCATGTGTGTGTGTTCTCGTTCAACGCTTGAAGGTCGTCTCCAAGTCCCCCAAGTCTATGGTAATGAATAAGAGTGAGAACCAGTGGATGTGCTTTAAATGCATGCCACGATGATTGGTGTTAATCCATTCATTTCCACATTGTTTTTTATTCACACATGAATGTTATATTGCGTTATTATAAGCGCAAATTATGTAGTAGGTCCAACGAGAATTAATGCCATAAGGGGCATATGCACTAAACCCTTAGGTGAGTTTGGTTCACGGAATATAAGATTACCGGTGGGAATAAAAGATTATCAGGAAATAGGATTACTGAGAATGTTGTATTTTGTGTTTGGTTGGTTTAGCAGGAATATAAGATTATCATGTTTAGTTAAAGGAATAAAAGATTATTGAAATGTATATTTGATCAAATTGTTCTTATTATATATTTATTTTTTTAACAAGTTGGAAAATATTTATATATTTTCTTTAAAAAAAATTCATAAAATTTATATAATTTTTTTACAAAATTAAAAATATAAAAAGGTTTAATGAAAGAGTAAAATTTTATTTTAACCCCTGAATTTCATATAAAATTTTAATCATAGACTTTTTTTGTAAATCTAAAATAGTTTAAGGATAAATTTATAATTTAACTTTCGAAAAAATTTTATTATTCAATGACAGAAGAATGATATTTTTGAAAAAAAAATTACTGACATTTTAGTCAAAAACGTCGGTAATCCAACGATACCTAAGGGAATGGGGGTAATGGTATTCCCGGTAATATACTCCAAAAAAATCCACTATTGATAATAAAACATTATCGGGAATGAGATTCCCGGCCAACCAAACGAGGGAATATAAATTTCATTCCCATGAGAATCTCACATTCCCCGAACCAAACAGCCCCTAGGGTTAAATGCATCCCTATTATTTAAAAAAATAATATGAAATTTATTTTAATATGTTAAGGAAGATGAAAAAAAAAAAAAAAATTTGTATGCTCATTACTTTTAAGAAAAAATATTAAATTTTAAGACTCATCCTTAAATTTTTGAATCTGTCATTGAATAATAATAAAAATTTAGATTAAATTTAAAGTTAAATCTAGTTTAAGAGTTTTTTTTTTAATTTAGGGTTTAAATATTATTTGAAAATGTCCAACTCTTTATCGTCCGATGCTAGACAACCAAATTGGAGGAGGAAAAAACTGGCATTATTGCTCCACAGCTTTTAATCCCATTGAATTAAATACTAATAGAGACAAATTTTATCAGGCATTAATAGGTTACATGCCAATAGTGACCCACAGAAATAGGGTTCCTCTTCCTGTGTGTATCTCAAGCCTTACAACTATTCATATTTTGTGAATAATTTAATTTTAAAAACCACACCAGAAGAATAACATGATTTAAAAATATTAAAATCCAAATATTAAAGAAGGTTACTTTATTAGTATCTTTCGTGATGAATTCTTTTTAGAAGAAATAAGTTCAAAATAATTGCTGAGGAATCTTTTGATGTATAATCAATTAAATTTTTTTAATGATAAGATGATTTAATATTCTTTCAGATGTTTAAATTATATTTTGAATTTTGGTGTCTAGAGATTTTTTCGTTAAAAATAAGTGTCTAATATTTTTTCGGTTACATTTTTAGATGTCTACCGTTAAAAAATCGTTAAGTGACACATGTCACGTCCATTTTTTTAAAATAATATTTTATTTTAAAAAATAAAAAATATAAACATAACACATGTCACTTAACGATTTTTTTACGGTAGACATCTAAAAGTGTAACTAAAAACTCATTAGACACTTATTTTTAATAAAAAAATTCTTTAGACACTAAAAATCAATTTAAAATATAATTTAAGCACCTAAAAGCGTATTAAGCCGAAATCATATATGTATTTTTAAAAATATAATATTTGATTGAGAAGTCTGACCAATCACGTAAATAGAAGATTCAACTCATTCATCAACAAAAATAATAAAATTGCTTGATATAAAATAAACTATTCAAGTCATTTCATCAAAATCATAAATCAAAAGATATTATAATATTTAAATAATTAATAATAATAGCTATTTCCAATTTAATAAATTGTTCATGCCTTATCATTAACATGATCCCATCATCTACACCTTATGCAGAATGAATACCATCAAATCAATCGTGCACTCATTTAAATTTAGAAATATAAATTCGACTCGTATTTTATAATTCAATAAATTAAATGAAATTGTGATAATAATTATAATATAAAAATATATTTAAGTGGGTAGATTTCAAACTGCAAAATTAACCTAGGAGGGACATGATCGGCTGGTGCATGTACTTTTAATTATCTATTCATGGTCATGGAACTTTAGGGACCATATAAGAGAGGAAAAAGCTATGGTCCATGGAGGCAATTATTACGACCTCGATTCCTTTGTATTTTAGTAGAGCCTGTTCGTTTGAAAAATAGTGATTTTTATTTATAGTATACGCGAGGATCGATATGATACATGGCCTACTTGCATAAACATAATTGTTGATGCATACCCACCTTCCCCTGCGTACTTTGAATTCATATTATTCCTGGAAGTACCTCGTTTACACCGTCAGAGATAATTATGAGTCGGGTCGGATTTTTAGTCTATTTAAATAGATAATGTTTTGTTCATCATGATCAAGTTTGTTTGTACACTTGTACTGAATGTGATGTTCGATTTTGATTGTAATTTCGTAAATACAGTAATCAAAACTCTGACTTTGAATCTTTTGGCTGTCTGATTTTCTTACATTCTAAGATAACATTGATGGTATCAGCATATAGATCACTGTACTGTGTGGAAAATACTAGGACTCCATTGCAAAACATTACTGGAAATTACAACTCAGTCGGGTTTTTTCCTTTTTCTTTTGGATGTACAATCAATTATGCATGTAGCTCAGATCTGCAGGTTGAAGAAAGGTGAGGTTTTTCTGGGTTTTGCTAGACTACATATGGATCCTACAGTGAGAGAAACTGCATGTATTGGTTTTTTTACATGTTAAAAAAAGAAGCTTGGGGGTTCTTTTATGTCTCTTGTGCAGCAATTTAATGTGGCAAAAAAAAAAACATGAAAAATATCTTCAGCTTGTAGGCTCGGTGATGCTCTGTAATGAAGGCTGCCATGTCTTTGATCTGGCCACAGAGTTCGACCTCGATCGTTGTCTTTCCGGTTCAGATCTCTGACCAGCAGCCTTCTCATATGGTTTCTCGGCCGCATAGTCTTGGTTCTTCTTCGTCTTTGCATGTTTCTTCGCATTCAATCCCTTCATAACCTCTAAAAAACCCAAAAGAACAGAAAAACCAAGTCAAAATCAAACTACAAAAACAAGAAACAACCATAGCATTATTATACCTTGAGTGGTAATGAGCCTGTAAACATGACCGAGAAGAAGAGTATCCGTCGGTCGAAGAAGCTTAATCCTGGTCAAGCGAACAGGGCTGACATCCGTCTGTTGTGACCGTGAAGTTTTATCATTATTGTTACGAGGATTGGAATGATAGAAGGTGGTGGATATAAGCAGAGCAACATAGTGACCGGGGTTCATCTTCATAACCTCACGAGCACTCAAAGGCCAACAGAATCTCTCGATTTTCCCGCACGGGTGCTGAAGAACCAGAGTGGCTGCATCAGTAGCTTGGCAGTTTCCCATTCTTTTTTTCCAGCAGTTTCAGAGGAAGAAAAGGGAAGGTATTTTGGCACAGAGGTGAAAGTATGTAGTATCTTTATAGAGAACCACACCACCACCAACTCTGGTATCAGCCAACTTAAATATAGTATTAATTAATCAAATGAAGTCGATTAAAGCAGTGGATTTTGGTTCATTTTAATTGAAGGTGTTGGACCTTTATTGTGCCATGATTTGGTGACCTGTGATTGGTTGGCTTAAAGCATGCGGTGAAAGCATGACCAGAGACCTCACACTTTTTGGGTAAATTACGCGTTTAGTATATAAACTATCGATTTTGATCCGTTTTAATATCTAAACTTGTAATTATTTTAAAAATATAGCTAACGTTTAGTTTTTATTTCATTTTAGTACCCATTAAAAACTTAACGTATGCTGCATTTTTATGGATAAATTACACTATTAATCACTCAACTATCTTCTCACTTCTATTTTGGTACTAAAGTTTAAAAGTTTTCAATTTAACTATTAAACTTTCAAATTCCTCTTATTTTAATCACTTTAATTTATTTTATTAATATTTTATGACATTACATTTTTAATTATTATTTTATTAATATATAATTAAAAAAATAAATTTGAAAGTTAGAGTGATTAAATTAGGAGTAATTTAAAAGTTAAGTAATTAAATTAAAAAACTTAAATTTTAGTAACTAAAATAGGAGTGAGAATATAGTTGAGTGACAACTGGTTCAATTTATTCATAAAAAGGTGCCACGCGTAAATCACCTCTTAAATTTTTAACGGTAAGTTGCTAAAACGAAACAAAAACTAAACGTTAAATATAATTTTAAAAATAATAAAAGTTTAAGTATTAAAATAGACTAAAACAAATAGTTTAGGTACTAAATTTGTAATTTACTCTTGATTTTTTAAGCTATACCTTTATTTATCTCCTCCAATTTTTAATAATAAAAATAAAATGTGTTAAGGATATTTGTAAAAATAATATTTAAAACTATTGTTAAGTACATTACACAGTTGTTGGACAGCACTGTTCTATATAGGCTCTAATACTGCCACGTCGACCAAGTTTATCCAACGACTCATCTTGGAATTGACGGTTATCTATAAATATGTGGACTAAATTTCTTGCAAGAACACTGTTTTTTATTGATATTTAATTTATTGTTGATTAATTTAAATTTATTATAAAAATATGTCTTTCAATTCAAATGTTTGCATTTAAAATTTCATTATTTATTTAAAAAATGTAATTCTTCCTTTCAAAAATATGTAATTCTTATATTACTATAGTAACACAATTTGAATATAAATAGTTTAAAAGTTTATACATAAGATTTATATAAAAAATATATATTATAAAAAATATTAGTTTTTTGAAGGCATAAGGAGTTTAAAGGTTTATACATGAGATTTTTTTTTAACTTTATATAATTTTATGTTTTTATTTTCATCTTATGTTAGATATAGTACGTTTTATGACATCAAAAACTACTTAGGTGATTTATATTTTAGTAAAAGAGTGGACCAAATGACCTCCGTGGTAAAAAATTTATTGTTATATCTGAAGATCTGAGTTCGAGCACCATAGATATTAGGGGTGTGAACGATCAATATTGAATGATTAAAAATTTATCTTTGAACAGATATTACTTTATACATATAAAGAATTTATCTAAAATCAATATATTATAATTTATTATAACCATCAAATCTATCAACAATATTTGGACAAGATGTTTATACAGAAAAGCATCTTAGGAGGCTACTTATCTCAACCTGCAAAGCTTGGTTTAGCCTAATGTCATCCAGACAATACAAATCTTTATGTTAATTCGGTCACTAATGGAGCTCTAAACGCAAGTTAAAAGACAACAATAATTGAGAGAAAGTGTATATAAATAACAGTAAATAGGCCCCATTCGGGCACGATCCAGTGAGTCTGACGCAGCGGTGGACCATTGGCCCATTTGTCATTTCATATGGATCGTCCATCCAACCACAAAATCCAAGTCCTTTTACGGGCGGGCGTGTGAAAAAGCCTTTACTTTAATTTTCCTAGAATCTACTAATTTTATTTAAAATAAAAAATATTCAAAATTATATTGAAGATTTATAATTATAATCGTAAATTAAGTAGGATAATTTCCTATAATAATTGAAGTAAAAGTAACAATTTAAGATCATATAAGGGTTTAACAAGGAAAGATTAAAACATAATCAAGAAATTCGAACAAAGATAGATGTAAGCAGATCTAGTCGCATCGACAAACCAACCACAAAAGAGAATCAAGGTATTGAAAAACTATTGACAAACCGTAAATCAGACTCGAGCGACGCGAAAAACTATCCACAAACGCATAACGGGTATCCAAACACAATTCGAGGGTCTAAAGCATGGAAAATCAACAATGTAACATATACACGTCATCTTGATCAGTCGCGACGATGTCAAATCAATCCTTTAAAAAATATAAGTGAAAACAATAGTCAAACAATCGAAAAACGTGTTAAAAGACAGAAGAAAACATGTCATAAAGACAGATAAATACTGTCATACAAACAAACTTATTGAAAAAAAAAATAAAAAAAAATTAACAATAAAAAACACCAATGGTCGACAATTAATATTAAAATTAATGCCTATTAATAAAACGATCTACCAGTGAGAAAAAACTTAAAAGCAACAAATAAGTTTTTTTTCTTGTTTGTTAAAACCAACGAAATAATAGAGAACGTGATTGGTATTCTAAACATATAGTTATATGATAAGTTTCATATATTTATATAGGGTAAAGTATAAAAATGGTCCCTGACAATAGAGTATTATTTTTATTTAGTCTCTAAACTATGAAAAGTTACAAAATAATCCTCTAATTACAGAATGTTGCTTTGTAAAGTCCTTCGACTATTAAAAGTTACAAAATGATCACTTGACTATTTATTATGTTCCAAACTAGTCATTTTTCGTTAAAAAATTGGCGGTTGTCTAAGTTGAACGTTAACATGTTGATTGAGATATGATAATCGTTTGAGATCCTGTAATCAAATTTTATCATATAATAGTCAATAGATTAACGTTCAACTCAGAATACTGTCAAATTTTCAAAGAAAAAGGATAAGTTTGGAACACAATGAATAGTTGGTGACTATTTTATAACTTTTTATAGTTGAGGGACTTAATAAAGCAGTATCCTATAGTTAAGGGACCGTTTGTGCCCTTTACCCATTTATATATCAGCATGTTCATTCGTATACAATAGATGAGATAAAATATATGTATATATTATTATAATTTAAATAAATTAGTACCCAATCGACTTGTTTTGTTATTTTTTAGCCCATAAAAATTATGTATTAATCATTAACGCCTAGCAAGATACAATTTGTCTAATATATCTAAAAGGATGAAAATTTAATTGTGGATGTTATTTCTTCTTGGTGGGTCAAAGGAAACATTAAGCTTACGTAGGTTGATTTGAGACTATGGTTGTGTTCGTATTTATTTGTTTATTTTTTAAGGTGTTTATATTCGATTTGTGTTAGTTTGTTAATTTTTAAAGATGTTCATATTCGATCCTTTTAAAATTGGTAAACATATTTATTTAATGTTCGACAAATACCGCTCTCCTTTTCCCTTTTTATTTGCAAACCAAACAAAGATGGTAAAATTACAATATTAGACCTTAAATTCTTAGGCTTTATAGTTTGAGCTCCAAAAATTTATCTTACGTCCAATTTAATCCTTACATTCACCCACATTTAAAATGTAAGAAAAAGAAAAGGAGAACCGGGTAAATGAGTTTGTTCATCAAATTCTCTGTTCATTTACATCTTTATATATATAGATAGATATAGTTCGATTCTCTAATATGCTGCAAAACCGAAAAAGGTTGCTAAAAAGACAGCAATTGATGGATGAAGTGGAGAACTCAATAGAAGACAAGGCTGAGAAAAGCAAGATCCTGGAGGGACTAATTGGTTTCATTCTGATATCGACACAGGTCTTACATTTTAATCAGATCCCAAAGTCTATTTTTTTTTATATGTATTAGCTCTAAAAATATTTCCCTGCAGGAGGCAGCTGTGGTTCCACCATATGTTGCATTTGCTGTGAGACCGAATCCGGGATTCTGGGAGTTCGTCAAGGTGAACTCGGAGAACCTCCATGTCGACGGCATTAACCCTTCGGATTACTTGAAGTTCAAGGAAACTATATTCGACCAAAATTGGTATAATTAATGATAGGAGATTACTTCTCCCTGCAGTTTATATTGGATTCCTGCAATGTTTTCAGCAATCATTCTTATGCTATGGTGCAGGGCGACCGATGAGAATGCTTTGGAAATCGACTTCGGATCCATTAACTACACTACCCCTCATTTAACCCTTCCTTCTAGCGTCGGCAATGGAGCCACCTACTTCTCGAAATTCATGTTCTCAAAGCTATCTGAGAGCTGCGAATGCGATAGCCCGCTGTTGGACTACCTATTGGCCCTTAATCACCAAGGGGAGGTAAATATGTCACACATACATATGTTTGACTCCATTTCTTCTTATGTTTGTGAGAATCGTGTGTGAATGTACTTGGAGTTGCAGGATCTCCTGATAAACGGAAATATAAATACAGTCGACAAGCTTAAAACAGCTCTGTTGGCAGCGAGCAGTACCGTCTCCCCATTACCAAAGGAAACACCATACGAGAATTTTGAGTCAAGGTTATGTCTAGATTGAAACTATTACTTAATACATAGAAAATATCTAAAAACGGAAAAGCATTTCCTTACTGTTTCAATGGTGGCAATTAATATCAGGTTAAAAGAGTTCGGTTTCGAGAAAGGATGGGGGGATAATGCAGGAAGAGTTATGGAGACAATGATGACCCTTTCCGAGGTGTTACAAACTCCGGAGCCTGCAAAACTTGACTCGCTCTTTTGCTGGCTCCCGACCGTGCTTAAGATCGTAATCGTATCATCTCACGGTTACTTCGGGCAGGCAGATGTGCTCGGCTTGCCAGATACCGGAGGCCAGGTAACGATATAATAAAACGGTAAAGATGGATTCAACCGAGGTAATTAAGTAATCACAGAATTGTTTTG